TGTCTTTCTCGTTTGGAGCAATCTTAACTTTGAGGGCTGATCTGACGCAGGCGGACAAAATCCCTGTGCTTTGTTGCCCTCCAAAGGGGCAGAGCTGAGCAGAGCAGTTACTGTGGAATCTCTTTCTAGCATGTGCAGAAAAAACACTTATGTTCCCCTCGGTTTCACCCCTTGGCATCACCCCTATTTGAGAAGGACTGCCATAAATGAACAAACAATTATTTTGGTCACGGTTAAAATGTGGTTATTACATAGCGTGCAGGCTTTTCTCTCTTCTGAAATCAATAAATTCAAAAAAATCTAAAGGTACTCAGCCCGAGCAGTTATCACTAGAGTTGGAGGTCAATGTTACTGGTGGACAAAAATAAAAAATGTTTCACCAAGCTCCTCTACAATACCATATCAGTTTATTTTGTATCTCAATGGCCAATCGAGTAATTTCATTGCAGTAAATTATTATATCTCAGGCCCAAAGAAGAAGCAGCTGTTTCCTTGTGCCTTGCCTCCCTACAGGCTTCTGCTCTCCCCAGGGATTTACATGACACCTGCTGAGCCTAAATGCTGTGCTCTTTTCCTCTGCACTGCCACAAGAGACAGTGATTCTCATTCACCCATCTGTTTGGAGACAGTTACAAAGTCTGCATGTGGCGGGAAACTTGCTAAGATGAATCATAGCATCTCCGCTTGGATTCTTTTCTGGGACATTTTCTGTGCCAATAAACAATAAAGGCAGAAGAATGGCTGTCATTCATAATTTTTTATAAACTAACTTGCCAACTTGAGAACAGAAAAATAAGGGACACCATTTGGGTGGATCAGGTTGAGCACTTTTTAGTCCTAATTTCAATCTACACAGGAATCATGGGATTTCATATAAAGTTTTTAGAACTTCACAACATATATATAAAAAAAAAAATCCTTAGTCAAAAATGAAATTAAATAAACAGGTGGAACTCTTTGGCTGGTTAAGGACTTAATGCATGCTTATTAGTCAATTTAAATATAAAACAGAGACTTCAGTAAAAGCTATTGGTCTTTTGACATTTGTGACGCTCCCTATGCGCTTTTCTCGGCGCTTGAAGCAATGGATTTCTCTGCATAAAAACAGCGCATTGGATTTGAACAATCAATGTAAATGTGATCATTTTGGCACAATTACTTTTGTTTAACAATGTAGCTTTTGTGAGCTATTAACTGCGGATGTCCGAATCTTTTTTGAACTTTTTCAAACGTCTGCCACGCTGCAGGCCACGCTGACGCTTGTCAACATTAAGCCCATGGATGTGATCTGGGCTAATGCTGCATACAGCTTATACCGTTTATATCACCCAGCCCTAAATTGTACTATAGATAGATACTTACGTTGAGTTCTAAAATGTTAAATATAAAAAACATAACCTGTTTACGCTGAGGATACAACTGCTGCGTGGCCTTGGTCTTCGTTCTCTAGCTTAGGTCCTGGATCTATAGCCCGTCTGTCTGTGTGGAGCGGATCCCTTTGTGATTTAGGGCTATACAAGAATACATTGAATTTAATTGAATTACTGAGAGAATCCCTCAATATTCTGTCTAATTTTAGGTCTCGTCTTTTTGTTAAAGGAGCTATACCTGTTTCTGCAAGGTTTGAGTGTTTAGCACCGGCCCCAACTCGCTCACAGGCTTCTCATTTCCCCTACGCTCTCATCCCACGGAGGGATGCTAACATTAGCATGAGCGCAACTTCTTGTAAGCTGTACAAAAATCACTGATGAATAGGTACAAAAGCAACGCACTTCTAACAAAATATATAGATAAAAGAATACCGCTAGTTTCGTCCAAATGTATTAATTTAAACATCAGAATATCTTTAAATATTCAATTATAATTTATTATACAGCTCCTCACAGCAGCAGTAGAACACTACATTGATTTGAATGTAATTTCAAAACGTTCTACCGATCATTTTTTCTTGATAACGGAACTCTCAAACCAATGATGACCGCTGCCCTTTGACAATGCAATCTCTGTTTGTAATTCAGGTGTGTAAAATACTAACATTACTCTGCAAGTAGAACAAGCTTTCAGCCCCTGTCACTAGCTACTTCTGTCTGTGCAGAGAAGCTAGCGGAGCTAGCGAAGCTTCCTCGTTCTGTGAGTGGAGGAGAGCGAGTGTCCCGCTAAGTCTCTACTCAGCACTTTTTACGGCCTGAATTCATACACAAGCTGAATCAATGAGCTCAAGTTTTCAATTAAATTACGTCTTATAATACAACTTGTATGCAGTAATAAGCATTTTTATGAACTCATTAGGAAATAAATCAGGTATCCAAGATTACTATCACAAAGTAAACAGACAACAGGTTACATACCTAATGGCTGTGTGCTATTTTAAGAATTTTTCATTTTTATTGTTTTCAATATTTGTTATCTATGTAATTATTATTTATTACCATAGATCAACTGCTGAAATAAAGCCCATGCTACACTTCTTTGCTTTACAAATAGGGGGCGACAGTGGACCTCTCAATCCACTAGAGGGATCCAGGAGGCTTTTCATTGCAATAGGTCCCTGCCGCCAGATCCTGCGCTTCAGCGGCCACTGTGCCTGCCTCACACACTCTCTCTCACAGTCCGAGCAGCTGCCGTCTTCTTCGCTCATTCACAGCTGCGCTTGCCTGCTTCTGTTCTCTCTGAGGAATGCACTGAGGGATCATCTCCCAGGGCTGCATGCGTCTACTGGCTACAGTTGAGGACCTAAAGGACAAGACAGTCCAGGGAGAGTCAAGAGCAAAGATCCAGCCTGAGAGATTTTTTCATTTTCCAGCGGAGACTATTTGCATCATAAAAAGCTTTGGAAGGAGGACACACAGACTCCTGACTTGGCTGTCAACCTAGAGGCACCACTTAAATGTGTGTAAGTGAACGTGCGCACGCTCACCTTTTCAGCATGCGCATTCATTGGCTTCCTTTTCTCATGCAAATGCAAATTGGCTGGTCGTGCTCCTTCCATGTCTTTGAGAGAAACGCAGATGGAGCAGGTTGCTCTAATTCAAGGTCCGCCTTTATTACCGTGCAATGCTATATGAATTAGTTCAGCTTGGTTGGATTACCGTGTGTGCATTCAAAAACTGTCTTGCTCATACAACACTGGCAAAGAGACGTTCTCATTAATTAATAGTCTGACATAAGAAAACTTCCCTCATCTCTGAAGGGACACGCTGTATGTTAGATTGCAGACACTTTCAGGCTTGTGTGCAGCATGTTTGTGTGTTGTTGAACGTGTTGTGTTCAGATCATGCGTATATGTCATTGCCATAAGAGCTCAGCGGGGAGTGAAGGGAAAGGAGGGGTCTAAATGATAACTGGCACTGTGCCATAGAGATGAAGTTGAAGGTTAGATCAATGTCTTTCACATACGATTTCTCACATCTGAAGGAAAACGTCTTTTGTTGCTGTTGAAAAGTATACATAGACGTCGGAACTAGGGGTGCGGGGGGTGGGGCCGCACCCCCTCCGCGTGTGCCGGGAGCGAGAAGTTATCACTATCCTGCGTTCCTTGCAGCCCAAAACCCGCTCCATGCTGTCGGAGAAGCTTATGAAGCTCTGTCTGGCTAATATCTGTCGCAGCCTCTGAGCGCTCTTTCTCAGCCTTGCGCAGATTAGAGACCTGGCTACACCAGTGACGTGCGGTGGGGGATCAATCATGTGTTCATATGATTATACATCATATAAACCAACAGGACCTACAGGAACAGGAGCGGCTTATACACAATTTGTTTGGCTACAGCAGAATATGATTTAATGTCTGCATTGTTTTCTCATACAAAACGCAAACGTTTGTAAATAGTACAAAGTGTGTTATGGGCCTTACCTTAGGTATTAATGAACAGCACAGACCACTTCAGTTAGGACCAGTTTCATGTTTAAGTCCAGATAATAGTTTGAGCACAGACATGTAATCCTCCATTTGGAAATAAGTTCAATGAGTTTTAAAAAGTAAAAAAACGGGTGTCTCCTCCGTAAACTCCGAGTTTTGCTGCAGCCGACTCCCGGGTAAATCCAATTTCTAAATTCAACCTTACCCTTCACCTCCTTTTCTTATGATTCATATCATCATTGGAAGCAAAACATTACTCTAAGTGCATTTTAAATTATCTTAAAATGTATTATAGGTATGTTAGCCAAACCTGTAGCTGCCCTTAGCAGAAGAAGAACAAGAAAGGAGCTTTCTGATGGAATTGGATGCAGCCAAAGTTTGGGCTCAAAAGCGCCCCCTTGAGGCTTTCCTCACTTACAAGCTGTGTTTGAGCGCGATTAAGACCCATATTTGCTTCAAAAACACAATTTATGAGCCATCCTCTTAAATGTAAACATGTTGATTGTAAATTAAATATTTTTGAACTTTTTAAACTGTGATAAACAGGGAAAACAGTTTGATAGCACCTCACAGGACTCTCCCTGTGAGCTGTTGCTTTTTACGTCTCCCAAGAGAGGCTCGCCTCACAGCACCGCTCTGTCAAATCTGCGATTTCAAGGTATAAATAAATGAAATAAGGCACAGCACAAATCACTTGATAAAGTGACCAAACATTATTGTATCCATTTTATTACTTTTCTTTCTATGATCTTAGGTGAGGGCCTTGCCTGCCTCATCTGACCGCACGTCACTGGGCTACACAACACAATGAAGCCACCGGAGAGACTGACGCATGAATGCGTATTGAAAAAAAAAAAGTTCAGTTTGATAAGTGACTTCCTTGATATATATTGTTTATTTTGTTTTTCTTAACAATTAAGATGGTATGTTATTATCCAGTGTAATCCAAGTATGAGTCTCTCCCTCGACTCTCCCAACAAAAACCCGCCCCCCCTCTCAGAAAATAGTTCCGACGTCCATGAAAGTATATTTACATTTAATTTCAATTATTGGAGAATTCTCTGTCATGTTTTTTGGGCTGATATAGATTAGCTGAAATGTCCTAATGGATTCCTTTCTCCTACTTTCATCACTTCTTCACTCTATGCTGTGCTGGTCCAGAGTGAAGTCCAGGTTTCACTCAGGTGAAAGGGGGATGGGCACAGTAGTAAATACAGCTCCACAGAGAGAGACCCAGAGTTGATTTATGTGCAGACATTTCAGTGCACATGTTTGGCCACCACTCAAATGAGCACCTCCTCCAATTCACGGTTTGACTCAACTGAATATGGATAGAGGGCGACCAGCGTTGTGCTTGTTTAATTTATTCACTTTGATTAGTGTGGAAGCCATACATTTCTGAGTAAATCACTCGCACTGCATTCAGCATCCTCACAAATTAAACAAACAGATGAACTCACAAACTTGACTGCTGAATGTGAATACATTGTGGCCAGAGAGGAACCAAAAATATGGAGTGAATTATTATCATAACATCCTAAACTTTCTTTGAACTGAAGTGAAAAGGAACCATCAAAGTATGATGGCTTTGTACCGCTATGTGAATAACGCCTGTTGAACCATATATACTTGAATAGAAAATGATTCTGATTCTGATTCGAAATGCTGTAGTCCAATTAAAACCAATTCAGTAAACCTTGATGCCACAGCACACATCAGGCTGAAAATTAGTTCTCACACTTTCATTTTACAAGCTCCCATAATTGAATCAAGATCCAGAAGCATTTACTGTCAAAGCTGCTTCCTAATTGTTTTGCTTAGCGAGTGCACTCCCACACACATCATATTATCAGACCATTCACACACTGAACAATATACCTCTCTATAATACTTCAAGGGTTACATGTATTGTATAACTTCAAAAAGTGCACTGGTGTCCAGTTCAAAGGTGGTCATCTGCAGGTCGCTTCCAGACTGCATACTGCTCTACTGGTGAAATTAAGTGTGATCACCCTTATTTCTTTGCAGGCGGTGTTATAGACAAGGACCTGCGACACTACCTCAGCCTGCGCTTCCAAAAGGGGTCAGTGGACCACGAGCTACAGCAGATCATTCGGGACAACCTCTACCTCCGCACTATTCCCTGTAAGTTCCCAGTCGCATTTTATTCGTTAATTTCCTTTACTACTTAGAATTTGCACCATTTGCTATGATGTTCATTATAATGAAATATTATTATATTTAAATATAATTATATAATTTGTAATTATAGAAATCTTGAATACATAAAATATAAAATGGATCCGAGATTACAATGATATTTATAGATGTATTGCGTAATGTGCACCTATGATGCACAAGTCCTACAGGTATGAATGCTCACAGAAACTTCAGAATCCCCTGATTTGAAGCTCATGCTTTTTGTAAAAAGTTACACCCACTGTTCCCATCCAGAGTGAAACAGTACCAAGTCCTCAGATCTGAGTGCAGGAGAGTTGAGTGTTGTTTGACTTGACTATGTGAGGTTTGTGTTATACTGTGGTCCCTCAAATCACAATGGAATTTGCTGCAACTGAAGAAGCTCACTTAAGCCTCCGTGCTGATAACATGTGTACATGCTTCCCAGGGGAGACACAAGATAAGGGATGTGAAAAATGTTACATAATTGATGATTATCTTGCATAATCACACCTATAAAAAATAAGGCGCAATGCCTTTCTTTAAAGATGGTTCACAAATCTGCTATTTTAAATCCACTAACAACAAACTAACAAACAAAATCATTGGTGATTACATCATCCCCTGCCATATAGTTCTACTTTTACTCAATTAACATTTACAAGATTAAAAGTGGCTTGGTGATGCAGTATTGTATTTTATCACATAGTACATGTACAGCAAGTTTAATTTAGGTATACTGGTGTAATTTCAATTAATAGGGTTGTAATACAGGGTGACAGTAGCTCAGTTGGTAGAGCATTGGCCTTTGAGCCTGAAGGTTGTGGGTTCGAGCCCACCACAATGACTCTTCATGACTCCCACTGATGACTGCTGTCGTTGTGTCCTTGGGCAAGACACTTAACCCCACTTTGCCTGAAGCGCCACTGAAAGATCTCAGCTCCTGTGGACTCACCACCTGCAGGAGGATCAGTGAGGGGCTGGTGCTCTGTGTACTGGGTGCAACTCTGACTGTCACCCACCCGACCCAGAAATGGATTAAGGGGAAGAAAATGGATGGAAGGATGGGTTGTAATAAAAAAAAAAATAGTTTTCATCTCTAAAGTAAGGGAGTTCAGGGGCTCTGCAGAATATTTATTGTAAAACCCAATATGAATTTTGTCACAACACTTCATATTCACTCTGTCAAAAAACTGAAATGTATATGTCCCCAAACATGAACATTCGCTTTAAGACAGCTGTTTTATTTATAATTGGGCACTTAGCTGTTTTTGTTCTTTTTCTAATATTTTTTGTGAGCGCACCTTATACCAATTAATGCTGTTTTAAAGTATGTGTGTGTGTAGCTTCAGTGTGGCCCAGCACATTCTGTAATAAATCAAGCCTCCTGAGATTACGAGCTCATATCACACTAGCCTCTTCCTGCCATTAGCTGCAGCTGCTGGATGTTGCTCTCCTCTGAATCCTTAATTGAAGTGTATTGCTTCAAGGCCATGGATAGATGGTGTTTGAATGGGGTCGCTTCTCCCTTTGAAGAATTCACATCAAAATGGGAGCATGTTTGTAAAACAGACGTAACGTTCTATCAGGACCTTCAAGCATAGGTGCAATAGTGGGAACAAATAGAACATATCAAGAGTCAACATATATAGTTGAAAAAACCAGTGGAGCATAAATATAAATAATTATAGCAAGATGCATATTCCGAAATAGCCTATGGATACAGTACCAGGAAGGGGCACAGAGAGGTTAAGTGTGCTTTAATGAAGACATTAGAATGGGGGTTTGTGCTGAACAGAGCAGCAAGATGCTTTTTCTTCATCTTAATCACTACAGAGAGGGGGATCATGCACTGCACCAGTGTTCCCCAACCTTTTTGAGCCATGGCACACCTCTCTCTCTCATTGAAAACAATCACATGGTACACCACCAGCTGAACGTGACACAAAAATGTAACACATGCAGCCTTTATTAACAATGCGAGTCATTCTCATCAAATCAAACAAGGGAAAAAAAATCTTTCTAATCTTCTCTTTCTCTGACTTTTATTTAGGTGATAATGGATAATCTTCCATCCTCTCAAGGCACACTAACGTACCACGGCACACTGGCTGAAAAACTCTACAGTATACTGCACTTCAATATATCTTTCTGTTTCACATGGACCATCTTCTCATGGCCTTATTGTGACTTGTACGTGCCCAATGTTTATCTAATGTTGTTACACTCTAGATTCTTTAGATATATTTACAAACATTGGGTTATTAAGTGCATAAAACATATTGCCTGTGAAAATCAATTTATTCTGCGACTTTGCGTTTACAACCAGTTAAATGATAGATGTTCTTGAGTACAATTTGACACAAGAGATGGGAAGAACAGAAAAAACCGGACTGGTTATTCTCGACTGATATATGCGCACAAAAGAGACATTTTAAAGAAAGAGATGGTTGGCACATGGAGGAGGACTCGCTTGCACTCATACCAATCAAGGCTGGACAGAGGCGACGAGGGCAGTCGGCACAATGCCAGCTCTTAGACGAATTACTTGGTCAAAATCCAAGGTCACAGCGTTAATAGCATGTGCCCATGTGAAATCATGCCTATCATCTGGTAATCCAGAGAGATTTGGAGTGAGATTCAGAGAGCTCCGAGCCCACTGAGTAGTCCGGATCTATAAAAATACCTTTTGTTTTGCAGATCTGGATATCAAATAAATAGATTTCCATAATAGGCTTTTTATTTGTTTTGTTGGTTCTAGATTTGCATTCATCTTTTGTTTGCAATTATTTATTATCACAATTTGTGATAATAAAAAACTGAACAATGGAACAAACACTTAGGCTTAAACATGTGGCACTAGTGTGACAGGGTTATTCCTCCACCATCTTTTGTTCACGCTAGGGCTGCATCATCATATATTTTTCTTTAGTGCTTGAGTGTTGTACATACTATGAAATACTCCACATGGGGCTCAAAGGAGTAGGCAGAAACATTCAAATACTTATGCGGGCCTACCCCCTTTAACACACAGCTCATTAGATTATAATTTCGGGTCACAACCAATTCAAACAGGACTTATGTTATTGTGGTTGTTTTTGTGGAATTTCAATAATCATTTCTTGAGAGATATTATATTAAAAATAGGGCTGTCAAATGATTACATAATGAATCGCATTTCAAACTATCGGCAAAATGATGCCATATTTTTCTGTAAATGGTTGTTTGAATGGAAAGATAAATGACATCATAGTGTTCATATGTACAGTATTTGTTTACTATAACAAAAATAAATCCATATAAAATAGCATTCACATTATTAACATTCTGTCTTTCTGTAGTAGACAGTAGTATTTTTTCAGTTCAACACAATCCGCTTCAGCTAAAGCCTCCTCTTTCTTATTTTTCTCTGTCTCATAAAGGCTGTGGAAAAAATTGGCACCCCAGCTGTAATTTAGTGAGTGTTTGGGTTTGGGTTTAGTCCTGTGTCTGGGTCTGGTCTAAACTTGTCTAGTCTTGGTCTGATTTTGGTGCAAGTCTTCGTCTGGTCCGGGTCTAGAGTCTAATTTTGGTCTGCGTCTGAACTGAGATCTAGTATTGGTCCAGGTCTTGTCTTTGGTCTAGTTTTAGAATCTGGTGTTGGTCTGGGTCTGGTTTTGGTCGCTATGGGGTTTTGCTGCTGGTTTGGGTCTGGTTTTGGTTCAGGTCCATCACTCACTGAGTATGACTTTCAAGACCTAATCTCCGCTATATAAGGATAGATAACAACTTCTCCCCACACATCAGATGACACATAGATCAACCATCTTACCCATATTTTAAAACAACTTATAATATACAAACTAGAACAAACAAATGACCTAAAACAACAAAATAAATGCATATTAACATAAATATGTACAGTTAAGGGCTTGAGACACTCTTTATCAATCAGTGTTACCTATCTTCCCCTCTGCATGGATCTGTCCTTTTCTTCCACCCACAAGTTCACATTTGCAGCTGACACACTAAAGCACTTAGTGACGAGACTTGGTCTTGTATAATGGAGCAGTGTCAGGAGGTCACACTTTGGTTAAGAGGTAACGTTTTTTCTAAATTTAATCCCACTGAGCAGCACACCGAATTCCAGAATCCACATTTTGTGTGAGTTTTTTCTTTTGTTTCATTTCTCATTTTGTCTTGTCTTGAATTATTGTAATTTATTGATATTTATGGACGTTGGTCATCCGCTCGCTATGGAACCATGACGTCAGTGTTTTTATTATTATTGCATTTCTTGGGTTTGAGGTTTTGAGTTTCTGATCTGTAGTTGGTGAATCAACAACTCCGACTGCTGTTGTGATTTAGGGCTAAACATGTGTCTAACACAATACTAAAAGTAATAAACAGTGTTAGTGTTAGTCAGCACGTGAGATTCAACAGTATTTTCATTGATGTGTATAATCTTAATAATTGATATAAAGCAGGTGCTGGTGACATTCACGAGGAGGAACCAATTTAACTTATTTAATTTAAGATGTATGTGTTTGTATTTTGTTGTTCCTCTTTGTTTTCCTGACTATAGTCGGAAGCAAGTAATTATGTCTTTATGTGGCTTTTTCCAACTCATTGAAAGACAATATTCTAATCCCCTCCACCCATTCAAAGTATTCACATCTCTTTAGGTTCGTTAGGTTGGTGGGTAAAAACCCACCCATAATTAGTGCCTTCATAGCCTGTTTGAGTGCAATAAGATGAATTGTTCCATCGCTTTGATGAGACAATTATGTCCCTTTGCTTGAACATGTCTACACTAAAAACATATGTTTCAGAAGCAGGACGCAGCCGCGGTGGCAGAAAGTTAATGTGTAGTGTGATGCCCACAGGGGAGCGGAGTTGGTTAATGGCTGGGGCAACAGTGCTCAATACTGATGCTGTTTACTAATGAGACAGAATCTGCTGCTCCCCCGTCTGGTGTGATTTTTGACAGTCAAGAAATATGGGCTGTAGGAAAACTACTATTTTCTCAATTTGTTGGTGAATAATTTGTCATCATTTGTTATAATATCAGTTGCTTAATGTCAATTTAAAAAGTGTCTCTTAACCTTCAAATTTAATCATCAGAAACGCTGGCCAATATGGGAGTACCTGTTCTGAAATAGGACGGACTAGGCAATGATTAAACACATTGAACCAGTCCGGCCCTCTGCTCGCAGCAAATTTGTTTTTTTTGGCCCCTCTGATGTATTTGACTTTGACATGCCTGGATTGTAGACTATATCATGCTCATTTACCATGGCTCATTTCACAGTAAGCAATTTATATAA